GCAGTTTTTGTTTCAACAATGTTACCATTCGTATTTAATGAAGTTCCAGGTAAATCCATGGCCGCATCGTTTATTGGAAATTTCATTGGGGATTTTTTCGTGGATTTCGGATTTACTTTCGGACTTTTCTTCGCGGTGGTATTACCTGTACATAAATCGTATTAGATTGTATTAGATTCATTAAATTTTATTACTTATTATTTATTTTAATTCAATATGTGTCTTTCGATTATATCATTAAAAATTTGTCGCTATTACAGATTCAATTACAAAGATTTTGATAATATTTGATATATAGTATCGTTCTTATTATATCTTTAAAAATAATTGAAGTTACTGTTTACTTATTATACATATTTTAAATAATGATAGATTTTTATGAAATCTCGTTCTTACCTGCTTTAAGAACATTTTCTTGTGTAATCTTATCGTCGAAATCATTCAGTATATTCTGAATACAAGCAGCTTCGCTCTTTTCAAACATTTCAACATTTTTCCAAACATCGGATTGTAATATATCGTCAACGTCGAGAGAACCGTTGGCACCGATAAATGACAATGCGGATCTTCGCATGTTTGTACCGCCATGACTTTTCGTCTTACGACTCATATCGATATTATTACCTGTTAAGAAATATTCTAAGCATCGACATCACATATATCATTATAATCGAAAAGCAACGCAACACATATTTTACGATATGCCTCTGTGATTATAATCCCGTTATATCAACAGCTTCCTATATTTTATTAGTGGAAAATTGAAAACAAAATAATATAATCTCTATTCTTTGCAATTTTATGATATTAAGAAACAGTAAAAGTCGCGTACAGTTATACAATTCACTTACTTGAATCACATAAAGATTGTGCTTTCGTTCGTTCCAACGCTTATTTCTTTGCAATTCTGTCTTGACGGCAAACACACTGTGCTTCGGCTATTTCAATAATCCGTTAAAATATTACCAATAAATAAAATAATACACCATATATTTAATAACGCGGACAGGCGAGGACTTCTATAAGGATTGTAGAATGCTAAGTTACGTCGAACACGTTCGTCGAAAGACTCCTCAGAACTATTTCAATAGTGTTTATACGGATTTTAACCTTCTCAAATCCCTACTCGGCATTCTCCCCCTGTGTGTTAGTGTTCGACATAGAAATAACAAAAACGATGACTCTCGAAGATTCCACAAAGGTAACCTCTGTAATGTCAGTAACGTATACGTGCGTTGCAAAGAGCTTACATACATACATCATTATACAATGATAATCTAATATATTGAAAACCGTTTTGTCTTCAATAATAAATAATTCTGTGACAGTACATGTAATAATATATAACTTCTCATGAGTAAACCTCTCTTAATAAAGCTCTTTTAATGTATCGTCTCACACGAGGCTGATGATTGTAAAACGTGGAACGAGCGAGTTAAAAACTCGATATATTTTATTTGCGTCACGATCCGGTTTTTTATGTCGTAATTCTTTGCAACGTAACGTTTCTTACGTTGCCACTATAACGGCGTGGCATTATATCGAGATAGGCACGCGTAGGCTTGGAGAACGTCAGAAAAACCGGATTATCGAGCGGTGCTCTCTTAGCGGGATGGAATAGAATTCAATGACGTCATCGTGGCGGCGCATGGACTTTACACAGGCCTGTAACGTCTGGTCGATCGACTGGAATAGGGCTTCGTGACGTCACGCGACCCTCGGTGAGATCACTTGGTTACAAGTGATGTCACAGGGTACTCCCTCGTCACGTCGGCTGTAGCGTCATTCACTGCGACGCAACTTTATCCATTTTAAATATCAAGGAAAATTGAACTAGAGGAAGCTGACACTTTTTATGGGGCAGAGATAATTTTCTCGGCTATATAATAGCGGTGTTTATTTTCGAAGATGGATAAAATCGGTTCTTTACGCTCCGATGGGGCGCTTTCCTTTTTTCTTTAATTATTAATATTGCAGGGTAGAGGCACTGGCCTGTTGTGAGATAAAAGCATCAGTTTCGAGATGTATTTCGAGATCATGAACAGTATTCAGTTATCGCAAAATAAAATTAAGCTGACATTTGAAATCCGGGTGGCATGACTCATTCAGTTCGTATAATCAAGGATTCACGCTATGAATCGTGACACTATAAAAATAGATTTTATAAAGTAAGATATTTTTAAAAAAGATCTACCACACTTATTGAGCATTTTTTAAAGGAAATATCAGATGTCCTAAAAAAAATTTTAAATATACAGCACGGTATACGAACAAGATAATGTAGTAATTCTGGGTCGCTAGATTTTATATATACTTTTGCGAATATACAACGCAATATTTTTGCAACTCGTGATGTATAAATTGATCGTTGGATAAAATCCATCGAGCAATTTTCAATAAATAAATGTCGCCATGGCACTGCAAAACTTACTTTCATCTCTTAAGATAATATTTATGTACGCGAAGCTGTCGGCGCCGATTGCTATCAATCAGTGCGATTCAACGATTTTGTAAAATTGCCTCTTCGTCGTGGTTTACAAAAAATGATTTAAGTTTAAGCAGTAACGTTACGATTGTTATTAACGATCGCAATTAATAAAGGTGTTCGAATTTTGATTCCGCTCTACGTAAATAACGGAAAAAACAATTTTATTTTTCATTTTATATTTTTCCGCAGGACGGTAATTGCGGATACGTCAATTTAACGCTATTTGATTATTACTATTAGATCATTTCCGAAAATACTTTGAAGATACCAGTTTATGTATTTTAGGCCACCAATAAAGAGAGATGGGACACTTTGGCTGTCACTTGTTTGCAGCATAGAAATCTAAATGTACCAAAAGCATTAGAGTTCTAAAATCAGATTAAATAACTCTTCTATAATAATCATGAACTAAACTGACCCGCGTACATAGCAATTAAATAGTAATTATAATGGAGATTTATACGTTCAGAATACTATTATTGCGTTACTAGTGTAATAATTTATGGACTTATAATTCATCTACATGTTTTACTGCACGTGCTGGAACACTGTATTTTCCCAGACAGGTGGTATATCGCATTGCCGAGATGTTAACAATGTCCGAGGAACATCGATTTCTGTCCGAAAATTCAAAGTCTCCCATATCATCGTTGCCTGCGCTTATTTTTCCTCGCGCGAAAGCATGGAATTACAGATTTATTTTACAAACAGCTCGCGTGAGAGATAGCGTACAGCTCGTCAAGTAATAATAGCTACTGCAATTGTTTAATCACGATAGCGATGAAACCAGTTTTTAGATCTTCGATTGTGATTAATCTATCTAGAAATATACGAAAGGATCCTTCGGAGCGTGAAAACATATGCTAAACGATCTATTATAGCCTTGATGCCACATTAGAAAATGTTAGAGACATAAAACGTTATATTAATAACATTTTTTTTTTAAATTTCCTACGAAACGCACCACTGCAAAATTCTTTCTAATCCTATTTCATCTTAATAAAAAAAATCCTAAAACAGTCCATGTCTACGCCATTGCGGATGTGAGCAGAGGTTGACGGCTGTGTTGAGAGTAATAACTTTAGCAGAAAGAAGAGAAGAAATAAATCTAAAAGCAATATATATCTTGCCTTCAGGGGATCGCGAACGTTTGACTCACGAAAATAAAACGTCGCTTCACCATGCGGTAAGACCGGTGCCCACACGCATGTACACGTATACCTATATAAAAGTGTCATCGTGCCATTCCCGCGAATAGTTGGGCGCTGCGCGGCGAGCGAACATGATCGAGGTAAGAGGCAACCAGAAATTCCGCGATAAGAAACGTAAAAAGGAAAAAATCCGCGCGTATGTGTTTTCCGCGAGTGACGTCGATTTCACGTGCTGGTTGATTGAACACGTAATTCCACTTGGGAAAAGTGAAAATTTCCTCGTCGAAGTCCTGATTGTATAACTTTCCTCGAATAGAAACGTGGGATTTGACGAAATCGGGAGATTCGCACCATGAAAATCACGCGAGATTTGAAATGTAAAAAGTGACGAGTGTAAGAGTCTGTGTCGACTAAGCGATCGATCTGATTAGAGTACTATTTAGAGTTAATAGTGCTAAATTGCTTTTTTTTAAACAGCTCAACTGATTATGCCATGAGGGATTTGGTACTGTATTTCGAAATTTTGATAAGTTTTTATTATATAAAGATGTTTGTCTTTACTGATTCACTCTTTCCTTTAAATTTTTGATAAATGAAATTTGAGGAAAGCAAAACCGACTTCTTGATATCTTGATAATTCATAATAAAAGTCGAAAGCCAGTCAGAGGTTGAACGTGAATATAGACGTGCAAATTCATGACAATTTATGCATTTACATCTTTATTCATGGCCCTTTTCTTTTTTATTGTCAAACGAAGTATTCTTGGGAAGATAATGTCGAACTATTCTGGTTCTTAGCTGGGATAATTTTGCTTCACTAGTAGCAAGAAGATTTGTAATTGGATTTCATGGCTAAAATTATGCGAATGGTTAGCGTGATTGTGTGGGCGGAGGTTCGCGGTTCGCCTAATTTTAGCCATCGACATTCAATTATAAATCTGGCACTAAATGCAAAGGAGAAGTTATTCATGAAGATAATCAACGATGTACGAATAAATTGTTATTTAATAATATTGGAATTTTTGGGGGGAAAATGGCATCACGATAAAGAACACTTAGCCGATGACGATTAGAGGGAAATTTGGATAAACATATTTGTTTGTAAAATATTATTGTATATATTCCGAAAGATCTTATGTTGCTTTATTGCGAACGATCTCGGAAATAAGATATTTAAGTTATATAAATTAAATATCGATTAAAATTTAAAAAAAATTTTAAACAATCTTACAACTTGATGCATTTTAACTGAAGCTTATTTTAAACAACTTAACTTAGATATAAAGCAGAATTTTATTCATTAGTTTATTACGTTAAATTTTAACTATAAATGCAGTATGCAAAGAGAAGATGTATTAATATTTTTCAATAAAGGAATTAAAGTAAATATGAAAGATATTTAAAGGAATTGAATTTTAGACGTAACTATAGACAATGGAAAAGATTTAAGTGTGAAATGATTCCTTGGACGGATTAAAATTAGCAATTGACGTTATTGAGACGCGAACACCTTATTTCGACAATCTGTCCTCGCAATCGGTAATGGAAGAAAATTCTTTTTTATCCAGTACAAAAATAACTTTGCCTCGTTCGAAGAATTTCTAGTCAATCGTGAGAAAGTGGGTTATCTTTTAACCTGGTCGCGATTTGGGTCAAGTGAAGTGGAGCCCAAGATCTATATGAAATAGCGAGAGTGTGGGGTTTTCACACATATTTCTATCTACCTGCGAGTGTCGCGTCAAATCGTCGTCGCCTGCTTTAAATTTTCACGGGATTCCCCGACGGATTCAATCTCTAGGTGATTTCCACCGCACTGCGCGCGAAATCGTGCAGTTCCATGTATTTGCGCGCGACGCAATAAAAAGTCATAAATTCGCGGCTGCGTCGCCAAACGAGACATTTATTTCCACGTAGATCCTCCGGTGACTTCGAATTAATTTCGCGTAAATCCCGTGTACACCACGTTAAAATAATAAATCTTGCGTGCGTGATCCCTTTGTGATGGAGCTGCGCTCTTTTTTCACAGACCACTGACTAAGCGACAACAGTTTAAACAATTTTTAAATCTAGATAGTTTAGGTATATTAATCGCCCCTGAATTGCCAAATAAAGACATATTTAATTTTATTTCAGATATTAACATCGCTAAAAGCATTTCATTTTGGATCAATTATAACTTTAAAAGTATTAGAATTTTAATATTTATAATAGAAAACAGATTCTGTGTTCAACATATCTACAGTTAATCAAGAGCCTCTGGAATATTTATTTATTCGGATTGATAAAAGAAAGCATAATTATGCAATTGTTTTCAATGCACAAATGAAAATCTCGTTTAATACATATGCACCGATGCAATTGTATTGCATTCGAATGCTTTTGATGCAGTTTCTGGTACTATTCCTTGGCGTTTATGGGACATTGGCGGCTCCTCATGTTCCCCACGTGAGTCATGATCCTCATCTGGACAATAATGCGGAAATGGTCGACGGGCAGCTTCCCGGTACCGAGAATCTAAACGAAAAGGCGCTTCCAATATCTCGCTTATTTGCGACGGGGTCGAATAATCTGCCGGCGAGAAATAATCTGGCTGAGAAATCTCAAGTACCTCAACGACTTCCGGGGACGGCGAATCTGGCAGAAAAGCGAATTCCTGATATCGTCCTGAAGAGATTGTCACAAGTGCTTGATGTCAAATAAAAGAAGGAAAATCGCAGTCTAAGATGTTATATTTTATTGGAACATAGCAATCAAAATATATTTGATTGCCGCCAACATTGATATCTAAATAATTCATATAATTGAATTGAATCTTCTTGTTAAGATTTAAGCACGTTTCGAATATCTGAAAATTTAACTGCAAAAGAAAAGTAAGAATCTTTCTGAAAATGATATGGACACACGCATCATATTAATGATACAAAAATCTAAATGGTCAGAGACAATAAAAATAATCAAAATGAAGAATTATTATATTCCACCGTTTATAATGTTTAACACTAAAATTAACACAGATTGGTCAATCTGTGTTAATTTAAGGGATTTGTTAATAATAAATAATCCAAAAGAAAAAACTTGTTAAAATAACTACACTTTATATTATAGGCATCGTAAAAAGTGTACATAATTATCAATTAAATATTTCATTACATGTATACTATATGCAATACTGTCTACTATATGTATACAAAGTAAACAACTCTAAGTTACTACGTTGTAATATAATACTGAGAGTGATAAAACAATTCGCGGATGAAGCCACAGGAGAAAATTGCAATTTATATCTCTTTTTCCTTCCTCTTCTTTCCTCTCTCTTTGTTATTACTTCACGGGATTGCTGTTATGCATATAGCAATTCCATGAACCAATAGAAAAGTATCATTCTAGATATACACATTCGAAGCAAGATATAAAGAAATGAATTTTGTCGACAATATAATTATGCAATTTATTTTTCCATCTTTCCCATGTGCCCTGTGCTATTACTTTGTTGACAGCAAACTTGTTAATTTTTAAAATCGAATTTACAACGTATTCCACAATGCTAGCAAAAATATAATAAAACTAGACTTCAGAATGTCAGAATAAAATAGGGTAAACAGTTTTATAATCGGAAAAACAACAAAGTATAACTATATTAATTATTGATTATTTTAGAAAACACATTATTTGATTATCTTTTGGTTATTTCACGAAACTCACACATTGTTCCGCGCGTATAGCATTCGTCGGTAATGATGAAAATACTACGTGAAACTAAAGAATTTATGTTGCAATTAAATTGAAATTAAGATTTATATGATAATAACAATTGCAGTTTTATTACATATATAATTGCTATTTATATTATACATTTAAATTATGCATTCACGATATCAGCAGTCAATAGTAATATCGGCAGTCAGTACAGTTTTCTTCGATTTACCGGCGAATAGGAGGACACGCCGACAACGTTGGCATCGATTGCAATTTACTGCTCACTTTATTCGAAAGATAACGCCACAAACAAAATTTAGAGCCACGAATAATATATATATACTCTAAAATGAAAATTGATAAGATTTAAATTATCTTCGATGGAGATGAAAGACAAAGTTATTTATTACAACTTAAATTTTTATGTTTATAATTATATCCGTTATAAAGATTTTAAATACTGAAATTGAAAATAAAAACGTGAATTTTTGTTTGTAAAAAAACATATTTAATTTATTTATTTCTTGGCCAAAAAATGTTCTATTATAAAGTTTGAAGTATCTCTTTATTTAAACGGAATTACCTTTGATTGTGCTATTTCTTTTATATTATACCTTTTATTTTTCTCTTGTGCTTAAAAAAAGCGAAAATATTTACTCATACGAATCAATGTTACGCTCTTCTAAGATTGACGTGCTACCCTTTAGCCTCTGCTGTTTCGTACTTGCTGGACATTATTTTGTCGGCGAATTGCACCAAGTCATGGCAGTCCTTCGTACGTGTTAGAACTTTAATCCAGTCGGCGTTTGGATTTAATACACGCAACCGATTAACAGCGAGATTACACAGGGCTCTACGTGCAGTCGTCGAGCTTATGGTAGCTTTAAACTAAAATTAGCTGAACTTCGCGTATCTTCGATACCGCGCCTTATTCCAGCAACGCCTCATGTTGATCGTCGAGCGCGAGGATAATAGGATTTCAGCTCACTCGAAAAACTTGACTTAATCGCATCTATCTATAAAATCAGCAATCTAGTAATACATATTAAGATAAATTTCCGATATTCCTGAAAAGTAACACTGCAAATAGAAACGAGAAAACGATCAATCAGGATTAGTTTGAAATTAACATAAGAATTATTGAAGTAATATCAAAAATAATACAATTGGATTTTGGCACCAGGCAATTCGAAATGTGGTGTAAAATTATAGTTTGTGGATTATATCAGTATCCTTAAAATAGTCTTTAGAAATTCTGGACTTGACCTATATAATAGAATATCTTTAAACGATGTCGGGCAGCACATGGCGGTACATACATGTTTAAAATAAGTTGCTTAAACGGATCGGATACTTAATCAACGTTTTGAAAACGCATATCAAGTGTATATGTGCCACTATGTGCTATCAGAAATACATCTTTCTTTAAACAAAATGTTATAGATCGGACAGTTATTTCCATATCGCTTAAAACGATTACATCCAACACAAAAGCGTCTCCTACCGCAATTACACATTTCGATCAAGCATGTGCAATCTCGGAATAACGCATCGCGATGAAAATTGCCAAACCAGTTCCGTGAGGCTTTATCTCCTCTTCGTGCACGCGCTATTACGTGCTGTTATAGCGCGACATCTTCACGAAGTGTGAAATCTAATATTCACGCCGCACACAGGTTGTTGCTTCAAGCGCGTGCCCCTGTCCTCGCACGCTCGTGCTCGTATGTGAACACCGACACATGCCACTCTGGCCGGGATACACGCGATGCGCGAATCAGAGAGAACGAGAGAGAGAGAGAGAGAGAGAAAATCTCTACGCATTCGCTCTTACAACCACTAATCTTAACGGAAAGGGATGGTGTTTGCACGGTTAGGGGTTGCGCCGACGGGTTACGGTTTCGGAGGCGAGTCAAAGACACCGACCACACTAGTGCAACAGCAATGCCCCCCGGTCAGGTGGGTTAACCGGCTCCTAACTTTGACCGACGCCGGCCGACGCTGCTTGCACTCGCGAAATCGCTCGATTAAAGCCGCCCACACACGTATACACGCAAAATCCGCACGATGCATTGTGCATTCAAACGCGATAATTGCGCTGTTAAGCAGATAGAGATCCGAAGATTACCGTTCAACATTGTGATACCCATGAGAAATCATATGACTTCGGTCTCGCATTTCGATTCGTTAAATACAACTGTACAGAATGAATAACGCGCACAGAGCAAGCAAAAGTAAGGATAAATTATATATTTAAATATTAATTTTACCCTCAAATGTATTTCATTAAGTATATGGATATAAATTATTTTACTTCTATAATATACAAATAATAGAGTTGACGTAATTTTACTTTTCTCGTGAAAAGGCTGATAGGTGTCTATTTGTCCAAGAAATTATGGTAGCGAAAGGGCACTATGATAGCAAAAGGGCACTATGGTAATGAAAGGATACTACTCCCTTTCAGAGTATCGGATTGCGATTCGGCAGAGGTATGCGGTGCTACAGTTCCGATGGACAGACGCACTATCGCTGATATCGTTGCCTGGAAACAAAGCTAACTGCTCCATATTTCCTCTTCAAACAACAACGTGATATAGTTATTTAATAAATCATTCTTTTAATATAATATCTTACTTTTCTTCTTTTACAATAAAGTTTGCAAAGAAGATTACGCAAAAACTTCTTATATTGGGGAGCAGTGAAAGTTTTTCTACAAATACATAAAAATTTTTGAATTATATTAAAATAATTGAATTTTTATACTATATTGAATTATAGGTGAATTGTTAAGTAAATGTACATTATTAGTAAATTTACATTATTTATGCTTAAACTCTTGGCATCAATAATGGAATAATGCATTTTTGAATTATTATTTGAATGTAATAATTATATCCGAAAATTAATATTATTCGATATTACTGGCTGTAATTTAATTAGAGAAAACTTATAGCAAAAAATATCTCAGTCAGAATATGCACAAAACTGAGAAACAGATCTGTAAAGATTTTATTAAAAGAATAATTGTGACAGTGTATTTTGATCCACAAAAATTTCAGCATAAATAATGTAAACCTTGACTGTAGTTTAACATATTATAATATAAAAACTCAATTATTTTAATATAATTTAAAAGTTTCTGTATTTCCAGAAAAACACACTTCACTGCTCCTCAGTATAAAAAGATTTTCGTAATAATTATATCCTTTTAATTAAATGGTTACATTTCACATAAAGTAAAATAAATAAAAATATTCCTAGCACACAGTATTCTAAAGCTGCACGTATAAAATGGTAGATACGTTTTAGCGAAATAGTCGCTATAAAGTCATAACATTTTAAGTTGTACACGGAGCACGTGAGGAGATTCATTAATGGAAAATGCGGAGTAGCTGGGTAAACACGCATGTTGTATACGTTTACGCGCAATATTATTAGAAGTTCTAAGCGCGTTTATGTATAAGCACGCTTTGTAAATGTATTTTACGAAAAAATCATGAGAGAATTTAGAAGATATTCGATGATATAAATCATCGCTGTTTGAAAATCATCAGTTATTTTGAATCTCGTTTACGTGATCTCCTTGTAGTTTCAACTTTCTATCTTATAAAACGATTCAATCTATATAAGTATGGATAATTGGTAAACGCAGATTTTGAGAATAATTCAAAGTAGCGATTCGTATGACTTGTTAAAAAAGTACCTTACTTAAGTAATGAATAAAATGATGACACATAAAACATTGTAAATTCAAAAATTTTTACAATATTCAAATTATGTTAAGCGTAATTAAACATTTTCTAATTTAATGGCTAGACTTTTAAAAGAATTACTATGTAAAGAGTATTAAACAAATTAAACTTCAATTTGTCTAACAAAATTTTGAAATTTTTCTCAATGATACTAGCGATTTTCTGTCATCCTCCTTCTTAGTTCTCCTTTTTTTTCTTCTGTCTTCCACAAAGTTATCCCATTTACCCGCAGGGGACAATATCGTTTAGTTTAAAAACCATTGATAAAGGTATTCAAAGTGTGTATATAATGACACAAGTACGTATAAAAAATGTATAATTGACACAGTTTTTATAGCTTTATTTGTATTTAATGTCTGATTCAGCTTAATTCTGTTACAAAAATGTATTTTTCAACAGACTAACAGCAGATAGACAAATCCATTTCAGATAATGTCGCAATCAAAAGAACATATTTCAACAACATCCAATACTTTTATAACGCGGTAGATAAATGGATAATGATAGCCAATAGACCGTTACATAAATACGACTATTTATGAACACACATTTGTGGAATGAGAAAACCACGATCATGTTTAAACGATGTAATCCACTGTTCTGTTTGCCAGCTAAATATTGACACTTACCGAAGTGCTAGCACGCAAAAAGGAACGATAAATCGTCTTGCTTTTTTAAATAGAACAGCTTGAAGAAATTACCAAGTCATAAAAGTTGCTAAGTTATACCAATTCTCCAAATAATTTGAAATTTACGATACATCCAGTGTAAGGTGAATTTATTTGGAATTTGATTAGTTCAAATACAGAAGACTATAA